CCTCCGCATGGGGGGGGAAGTGATAGGGGAGCCACTGCAGAGTCAACGAGGATACGGACGGTGACGCCAGCAGTCCTGTGGCTGGTCAACCAAAGTGACTTCCCTCGGGCAGTAATGGCAACACGATGTGACACGACGCCTCCTGTGCGTGGCTCACACTCAGCCCGAGTAAGCGGGCATTAACGCCGACCCGACGCCGCCAACGTCACCCGCTCTCAGTCAACCGCCCCGTCGCCCATATCCTGCACGCTCACCCAAATGCAGAAGGCGGCGACCGAGGCCGCCCATACCCTGCGACAGGATGGCCCGCCACGCGACCCTAATTGCGATGTCACATCCAGTCAGAGGCACGACCCTGCTCTGACAGGAAGGAACATCAGGTAGTATCAGGCCCAAACTATAAAGAGCCCTGAGCCCTAAAGGGCCCAGGGAGAGGGGGACACCAGTGACTCGGGGGGAAATCCCCTTGACATCCACTAATTAGACCGTCGGAGGGGTCGGGCCGAAGATACGGTCCGACCTTTGTGCAGGTACACGGCGATCACCCCACCTCGACGCTGGGGCTAGCCATTTCTCCGGACAACGTCCCGATCGGACTCCCGTGAACGCTTCTCCAAAAGACGTCAAGAGGCCCTGCCATCGATCCCCGACATTCCGGACCCTTGAACCGAGCCGTACCGTCCCCGAAGTCGCGGCTTAAACAGGTGCAGTCCGCATCAAGATTAAACCAGGGAAAAGGGGGAAAAGTACCATCAGGTGAAATTTCGGGGCTTAAAAGACTTCAAGAACCATTAAAGATTTCAAGAATCAGTTCAAAGAACACCAGTTTAAACCGAGGAGGAAAACACTGGCAAAAAGGACAAGTGACCATGTGCGCGCAATGGATAATCCTACAAAGGTAGCTCGTGAAGCAACCATTTAGACCATATTTCCCAGCGACATTGGGACAAAGGCCACGAAATGATTCAAGATTTCTTGCGGACGGTATGCGAAGCACTGCACAGAAAAGGGTTTGTAACGAGAAACTCACCTCGGCGGCAATGAGGGCGAAATTTCCGGCATTAGCACCGGATCTGGCGCCGCCCTTCCGCCAATTGACGAGGCGGAGGGCGTCGGGGGAGTCTTTGGCAAGGCCGAGGGCGTCAACGACGCAAGTGGCGAGGGTGGACTCCTTGAGGCCGTAGGTGCCGCGCTCGCGGTCGAGGCCCGGAAGGATGAGGCGGACGGCGCTGAAGTACTCGCGGCCGGTGTAGACCCGGTCCAAGAACGTCCGGAACCGCTTCCGCTTCTTGGCGGCGGTCCGGTCACGGAGCATCGCCTGGAACATGCTTACCAGTAGCCCAAACTTCACCGTCGTATCCGTCATCTCGATCGAAAACTCGCAGCCCGACTAAAGATAGCCCTCTGGCTGTCCTCCTCGATGGGTTTTAAATTGGGGCGGACACCGCCACGGCTTCTTACGAAAGAAGGGAGAGAGAAAGAGAGGAGTTCTTTATAGTTTTCTGGGTGCCACGTGGCGTCCTCGGAAGTTTCTGGGCGCCGATCCAGCGGGAATGGGTTTAGCGTCGGATAGTTGACGGACATGAGGGCGAGATGGTTCTTTCAACATGTCTTCGAGTTTAGGGATTTCCACGATTTGGGGATTGTGCCAATTGATCGAAGATATCCAAGACTGCCTAATAGCCTTATAGATTTAACAATAATAATTTATTATTTATACCTTCTTTATTTTTTTAAGTCTCGATGATACCCTTGAATCAGATTATTTCAAATCTGATCGATCCATTGATTCAAGTCAGATCCCTTCAATTTATATTGGATTGACGAACATGAGGGTGACATGATTCTTTCAATATATCTATATTTTTAGGGATTTTCATGATTTGAGAATTGTACGAATTGATTGAATATATACAAGACCGACTAATAGCCTTATAGATTTAACAATAATAATTTATTATTTGTATATTGTTTATCGAATTATGACACGTATTGTCGAGACAAATCATGACCAAAGGAATATGAGTAATTTATCAAAAAAAGTATATTTAATTTTTACTATCGATGTCCTTTTTTAAAAGAGTCTCGTTGATACCCTTGAATTATATTATTTCAAAGGAATAATAATTCAAGTCTCGTTGATACTTTTTTTCAAAAGTATCGTTGTTCTCCGAATCAAGTTTTTTCAGGTTAGATCCCTTCCAATTAGATTGGGTTGGGTAAGATCTTTTACATCCAAGTTATACTTTGAGTTACAATCAAATTATATTCATTCACAACCCCTATTAAAAATATATTAATTTTTATATAAATTTATTATAAATTTATCAAATTATTCCTTTGATACTCGTACATATTAATCCAAAAGATAGTGATTATAAATTTTTTTTTCTTTTTACTTGATATAAAAGGTTAGCTCTTGTATGGTAATCAAGATTTGATATTATTTTAGTGTTTTTATTCATCCACCTCAAAACTAATTTGAACGTCAAAAGGATTGGGCTATAAATCAAATTATATTCATTCATCCTCGGAACATGTGAGTGCATTCACCTCGGGCCTCTGGTGAGCTTCAGACATATTATGACCATCTCATCCTTTTTATGTATATGAACCAAAATCACCTCAGGTTAATTAGGATGTCATCGATTTTTTTTAATATATATCATTCCGTAATCATAAGGGATAATCATGCATTCACCTCGGGCCTCTGGTGAGCTTCAGACATATTATGACCATCTCATCCTTTTTATGTATATGAACCAAAATCACCTCAGGTTAATTAGGATGTCATCGATTTTTTTTAATATATATCATTCCGTAATCATAAGGGATAATCATGCATTCACCTCGGGCCTCTAGTGAGCAGACATATTATGACCATCTCATCCTTTTTTTATGTATATGAACCAAAATCACCTCAGGTTAATTAGGATGTCATCGATTTTTTTTAATATATATCATTCCGTAATCATAAGGGATAATCATAGTTTATCTCTTATAGTTAATTATTATTAGTATTTCGGTCTCATTCCAATTCTTCTTACGTCATTAATAGAGCCTACAGTAGTCCCCTCGTGACGATCGCCTCTCCCTCTCCTCTCGTGGTTTGATATACATATAAATTGAATATCTCAATCGAGTTTATAAATATGCTTAATTTTACTTTGAATATTACATTAAATCTATTCTTATATTGTTAGACAAATGCAAACTATTTCTTCTTTGCTAGTATAAAGTATGCAATAAGGTTTGACCCATTTTGGTCCTTCAATCACGGTTGAAGTTAACATAATATGCTCATCAAACCCATATAAGCCGATCATAGTCATTGCTCACTTTCGATGTGGGACTAAGTGAGGTGTTATAGGTTCTCTCCCATCTTTATTGGCAATAGTTCATATGCTCCGATGCCACAACAAACGCATCCAATTGTGCAATGGGTGAGCTAAGTTTGATGCGGTGGCAATGAGTGGTGCAAGAGAGATGGCGGTCGAGTGGTAGTGGTCGAGTGATGTAGGTGCGATGGCGATGAGCGGTACAGGTGCAACGACGGTCAAGCGAGTGCGATCGACGAGCGAATGATAAGTAAGTCGAAAAGAGAAGTAGAAAGAGGAGAGAAAGAAAAATCGATTAAGACGAAAAGTTGATATAAATTTAATAATTTAAAAATAATAATTTTTTATTTTTATTTTTTATTAGTATTTTTTTTGGTACGCGGATGACGTAAAAAAAATCGGATTAAATGTTTCACCTTCGTAACTATAGAGATTATAATATTATTTTTTTAAAATATATAAATCGAGATATTAATCATAATTAATCATAAACAATAATATATAATTATCCTTTAATAATGATAAATCAATTAACTATAGGAATATGGTTATCTAATTATTATCACTTTATGCAAAAGTCTTCTTCACTCTTCCTCTTCCTCGAGGAGGCTTTCTTTTCAGCCTAAATCTCATCCAAATCTTCCTTTGGAAAACGAAAGAAAGGCTGTTCGACGTTGAGGAGGAGGTGCAGCGGAAGATGCGGAGAAGCAGCACAACGATGACAAAGGCAGGTGAGTGAAGACAAATGGGTCGAACGCGAGAGGTTGTGGCATCATCAATGGACAAAGTCACCACCGCAAACTCTTATCTCCAAAAGATACCCCTCCACAAAGCCATTGAAAAGTCTGCTTATGCTGCATTCTTTTAAGATGATGATACTTACGGGATCGAGACGCAGAATATATTCTCAGACTTGATATTTAAGCAGAAGCTTCTAGATCTGAGGTACCGTTTGTGTTTTTCCAACTAAAAACATCAAAAATATACGAGGGTGATACTTCAAAATTAAACATTTATTAAATAATATATATATATATAATATTATTAAATTATATATATAATATAATATTATTTTATAGAAGGATAAACTTAAAAAATTGACTTCACTATGACAATATACATACTTTATTCATAAAAGACAACAAATTACCAAAGATTTTAAGATGAGGGTGAGGACGCCACACTCCAAATCTTTGCACTGTTTCATGAGCAGATCATGCCACGTAAAATTTCCTGGTTGTCTTCTTCCGTGCGTCACACCATTTGAGAGCTCTCCAAAGTTGTAGCTTGTTTTCTCTCTCTCTCTCGCTCCTTATCTTTCTAGTTGCATCACCAGTCTCTCGGCCTCCACTAAACCCATGATTACATAAGAGTCCGTCGGCAGTACACTACTCTCGTCACAGCGTCCATCACCCACCACCCTCCAATCTCCAAATTACCTGCCTGCCCTCGCTGCTTCCTACACCTCCATGAAACCCACGGCCGAAACAGGGCACCTCTCTGCCTTCCCCGCCCCGACCAAGGTCTTAAAGAAGGCCCCTCTCATGGCTTCGATCCCTCCCCCGCTTTCTCCCTCCTCTTCCTCCTCCTCTTCTTATTCCCCTTCCAACTACTCTTCAAGCAGCATAACCCAGATGGGCAGTGATCACATCATCTCTATCCTCCTCCTCCTCCCCGTAGAGTCCATCCTCTCCTTCTCCATGACATGCAGAAGGTTCAGATCCGTGGCCTCCTCCGACTCCGTGTGGGAACCCATCTGCAGGAGGGAGTGGGGCAGCGGCGGCGTCGACGCCCTCGTCGCTTCCTTGTCTCAGCAAGAAAGGCAGCGGCTTTCTTGGAAGCGGCTCTACGCGCAAGTTTCCCGGCCCAGTTCCCTTTCTTGCCGCCGATTGTCGAGTAAAAGTGGCGCCTTTCCGAATCCCAGGGCTTCTCACTCCCTCAATTTCATCTCTGATTGGCTTGTTCTCTTCGGCGGGGGATGCGAAGGAGGTCAGCCCTTTTTCGCTAGCGGCTTAACCTGTCTTTTTTCCTCTTTGCAATTAGATTCTTAGTGGGCGTGCAAATGATAGGCGGATAGTTTGATTGGATAGTTGAGTTGGTACTTTTATTGCTGCAGCCGTGTTCTTATGGATCTTGTTCAGTTTCTTGTCTATTACCGCCTAATCTTACCTACTTTTTTTTTATGTCTGGAGAAATTCTGTTTTGGTACATGTACAGTGCATAAGAAGAAGTGTGATAACAATCAGTGACAAAGACTTTCCAGAACATGCCATTTGCTGCTTATCTATTTTGAGAAAGAGAAGTTGGGCTCTTTTAGTTCTTTCTAGTGATGCATGTCTCTCCAAATCTGTATAATTCTTGCAGTCCGTGCAACTTACTGAAACTATGCTTCTAAAAGAAAATTTTGAAATTAATTATTTGCTTTGACTTCTATAAGTGTTCACTTGAAATTCCAAACCAGCATTTTTTTTCCCATTCACGTTCAATGTTAATATCAATTGAGTGTAGCGCTGCAATCCCTTGTAGTTATTTATTTGTAGACTAGTAGTATCAGAAAATGGGCAAATTCATTTTCCCTTGAACGAGTAGGTCTTGCCATATGTCATCTACTTTGAAGGGCGGCATAACTATTAATGAAAAGAGCTGCAATGAGGGACCAAGAACCGCTGATTAAAGAGTTCCAAGAGTTTAGAGATCTGAAGAAATCAACCTTGCTTTGATAGTTACTTTCTCACTCATTTGTATTTCAGTTATTCTGAAATAAACTACAACCTCTTCCTTTGGTCAGATGTATCCACTTTTCACCGCTGAACTGTTTCATTGAGCATATTTTTTCTTTTATAAGGATAATATTTCTTTGCAGCTACATATTTGCTGAAACATGAAATTATTTTATGTTTGTTGATCTGACATCTACATGTGAAAATAGTTACTTTCTTTAAGGTTTTCTTTGTACCCAAACATGGTAACGGAGAAATTTATCACTAGTTTTGAAGTACTTGTTCCAGACATTATCAGAATATTGTCCTCATACACAGCATTGGAGTCAAATGAAGAATCTTCTTAAACTCACAAAGATGCAGAATATCTTTCTTCACTTGCCTTCATGTAGTTGCCATTGGGCTGTTCTTACCAGAAAATATATCCTTTTTGTTTAAGGGAGATCTAAATGAGAAGAGAGAG